TCCCTACACATAGGGTAGGTATAGATAGTCATCATTTTATTAAATCTTACTGCCTTTCTCGGATTTTTTACTGCCCCCCCAGCAAAGGCACCTCAAAAGATGATTCTTTGAGCCAGTTTCAGCCCTTCTATATTATCTGTACTATTGGTGAGAAAATGTGCATTTTTTAAAATCACTCAATATTCACAATTATTCTATAATTTTTTTTCCTTTTTCACTCATTCCCTACTCCCCTCACCTTTGGCAACTACCAGCTTGTTCTCTATATCTGTAAGTCTGATTCTATTTTGTTTCATTTATCCATTAGTTTTGTTTCTTTAGATTCCACATATAAGTGAAATCATGATATTTGTCTTTCTCTTATTTCACTTAGCATAATACCCTCTAGGTCCATACATGTTAATGCAATGGCAAGATTTCATTCTTTTTTAGTGCTGAGTAATATTCCTTTATGTATACCACATCTTTACCCATTCATCTATCTGTGGACACCTAGGTTGCTTCCATACCTTGGCTTTTGTAAGTAATATTTCAGTGAACACAGGGGTACATATATCTTTTTGAATTAGTGTCTTTGTTTTCTTTAGATACTCAGAAATGGTACTGCTAGGTCATACGGCAGCTCTATTTTTAATTTTTTGAGGAATTGTCATACTGTTTCCATAGTAGCTACATCAATTTACAGCTCCACCAACAGTGTACAAGGGTTCTCGCTTCTCCACATCCTTGACAACACTTGTTATTTGTTGATATTTTTAGTGATAACCACTCTTACAGGTGAGAAGTGTTATTGTAGTTTTGATATGCATTTCCGTGACAATTAGTGATGTTGAGCAACTTTTCATCTGTATGGCCATCTGTATGTCCTCCTGGGAGATATGTCTATTCAGGTCCTCTGCCCATTTTTTAATTTTTTGAGGAATCTTCATACTGTTTCCATAGTGGCGACACCAACTTATAGTGTTTTTATAGTGTTTTGAAGTGTTAAATTGTCTAAGTTTCTTACATATTTTTGGATATTAACCCTTTATCAGATATATTGTTTGTGAATATCTTCTCCTATTCAGCAGGTTGCCTTTTTGTTTCACCGATGGTTTCCTTGGCTGTGCAAAACCTTTTTAGTTTGATGTAGTCTCATTTGCTTATTTTTTCTTTTGTTGTCCTTGCCTGAGGAAACATATCCAAAGGATGTTACTAAGACCAATGTCAAAGAATTTACTGCCTGTGTTTTCATCTAGGAGTTTTATGGCTTCAGGTCTTACATTTAAGTCTTTAATTTATTTTGAGTTTATTTTTGTATATGGTGTAAGAAAATGGTCTAATCTCATTTTTTTTGCATGTATTTCTAGTTTTTCCAACACACTTATTGAAGAGACTGTATTATTGTGTATCATTGCCTCCTTTTTTGTAGATTAATTGACCATGTAAGTGAGGATTTATTTCTGGGCTCTCTGTTTTATTCCACTGACCTATATGTCTGTTTTTATGCCAATACCATACTGTTTTGATAATTGTAGCTTTGTAGTATAGTTTTAAATTGGGGAGCATGATACCTCCCACTTTGTTCTTTCTCAAGGTTTCTTTGGCTATTAGGAGTCTTATGGTTTCATATAAATTTTAGGATTAGTTGTTCTCGTTCTGAGAAGAATGCCATTGGTATTTTAATGAGGATTGCATTGAATCTGTAGATTGCTTTAGGCAGTAAGGTCATTTTAACAATATCGATTCTTCCAATTCATGTGCAAGGTATATACTTCCATTTATTTATATCTTCTTCAGTTTCTTTCTTCAATATCTTAGAGTTTTCAAAGTACAGGTCTTTCACCTTCTTGGTTAAATTCCTAGGTATTTTATGCTTTTTAATGCAATTGTAAACAGGATTTTCTTAATTTCTCCTTCTGATTGTTATTGATATATAGAAATACAACATATTTCTGTATGTTGATTTTGTACCCTGCAGCTTTACTGAATTTATTTATTAGTTCTAATAGTTTTTTGATGGAGTCTCTGGGTTTTCAATGTATAGTATCATGTCGCATGAAAATAGTGACAGTCTTACTTCTTCCTTTTTTTTTTTTTTTTTTAATTTCTTGCTTTTTTTTTTCTTGTTGGATTGCTGTGGCTAGAACTTTCAATACTATTTTAAATAGAAGCTATAGCAGGCATCTTTGTTTTTGTTCTTGATCTTAAAGGAAAAGAGTTCAGCTTTTTACCATTGAATATGGTATTAGCTGTGAATTTGTCATATGTAGACTTTATTATGTTAAGGTATGTTTCCACTTTGTTGAGAGTTTTTAATCATAAAAGAATGTTAAATTTTGTCAATTTTGTCAAATGCTATTTCTTCATCTAATCAGCTGATCATATGATTTTTATCCTTCATTTTGTTAATGTGATGAATCACGTTGTTTGATTTTATGGATGTTGAACCATCCACGCATCCCTGGATAAATCCTACTGGTTATGGTGTATAATCTTTTTAATGTGCTGTCCAGTTTCCTAATATTTTGTTCAGAATTTTTGCATTGTGTTCATCAAGAATATTGTCCTGTAATTTTCTTTTTTATAATGTTTTTGTCTGGGTTTGGTATCTGAGTAATGCTGGCTTTGTAGAATAAGTTAGAAAGCTTTTCTTTCTCTTCAATTTTTTTAAATACTTCAAGAAGATAGGTATTAATTCTTCTCTAAACATTTGTTAGAATTCACCCATGAACCTGTCTGGTCCCTGGACTTTTATTTGTGAGTTTTTCAATTAGTGCTTCACTTTCATTGCCAGGAATTGGTCTGTTTAGATTTTTCTATTTCTTCTTGGTTCAGTCTTAGAAGGTTATATGCTTCTAAAAAGTT